AGTGAGAGTTAGGAAAGCCAGGCAAACCTGAGCAAGGAGGAGAAAATGTTCTCTTCCCCTTATCTCATGTTGCAAGTTCTGAATGCCTGGATCTGCAAGAAGTGGCTCTTGCCTAGATTAGAGGCGTCCCTCCTTAGGACAAGAACATGCTGTCTCCAGAGCAAGGGTGGCTGAGAGAATTCTTTAATGTATCTTTCTTCAAGGATGTTAGTTTAATCCCATTATGTGTGAAAGTACATATTGTTATGCTTACCTGATTGCTACAAGTATATAGCTATGTGGAAAATAAACGACAGCATGCAGTTGCAAGTGCTGCCTTTGCTCTGCATCCCCTGTGTCCCGGTGATTTTGCAGCCCTTACCCAGGGACCCCAATGCACTAGAAGTTGACAATTGGCGCCCGAACTGGGACCCTGAAGGACGTTCAGGAAGGGTGAGTAACTTAAAATAACAGGGTTATGGGACAAGAAACTTCTACTCCTTATGTTCGAACGCTGAAGCATTCACTTGCTGTCTATGGCATTACTGTTGCTTCTACTGATATTGAGATGTGTTTGAAGAGATACTTTTGAGCTTGCACCGTCTCAGGAACCGAGTGAGTGTGGCCACATTGAAACAAAACCAAAAGTAAAATCGGATTCCGGGACGGAGCACTTACAAAAGATTCTCCAGCGGGTTCTAGCTATAGCAGAGGGATCTAAGAAGCCCCCTAAAAAACCCTCCGCTCCACCTCTGCCACCCGCACCAGGTCTTTCTCTTAAGAATCCTTTCCTTTCTGCTGCCTTGGCTGAGCTTGATGCGCTAGAAGATAGCGATGATGAGAGCGAGGCTGATAATTCTGTCTTTGCTTTTCCTGTTATCAGGCCTCCCCCGGTCCAGGGAGTAGCACAAGCGCCATATTATGAAGGTATCGGAATAGAGGATATCGGTCGCTTGAAAAAGGCAGTGTCTCTATATGGACCACAGTCACATTATGTGAAGGAGCTACTTAATGGATTAGCTCGACATTATAATAATTTCTCTCCTGAAGATTGGAGGGTCCTTTGTAGAGCCCTTCTGAAGGAGCCTGAGTATCTGCAATGGCAGATGTGGTTTTCTGAACTATGTATGGATCGGGCTCGCCAGAATGCATTAAGTCCTAACCCTCGTATACAGGTTATAAGTTATCAAATGTTGGCAGGGATAGGTCAATATTCTGATATTGCTACTCAGGTTAATACCCCTGAAGAAATTCATGAGCAATTGCAGGAGATAGGTTTAGAGGCTTGGGAACGTATTCGGCCAACAGGGGAGCACTATGGATCATGGACTAAAGTTATTCAAAAGACTAATGAGCCTTATGTTGAATTCTTATCACGATTAAAATTAACTTTAGAAAGAACTGTTATTGGAGAGGAAGCTAAACAACAATTGTTGAGGTTGCTAGCATATGAGAATGCTAATGAGGATTGTAAGAGAGTTATATTACCTATTAAGGATACAGGAGACATTAACACTTTTATGAAGGCCTGTAAGGATGTAACATCAGAAAGTCAAAAGGTGCAGCTATTTGCTGAAACTATGGCCACTACTTGGCATTCCTTGCAGTCCAAACAACTAGATAAGATGAAATGTTTTGGCTGCGGGCAACCAGGACATTTGAGAAAGAATTGTAAAGGGAAGAAACTTGATAAAGGGCGTGGGCCTGGATTTGTCCAAGGGAAAGCATTGGGCTCGAGAATGTCGTGCTAAACTAAATACCAGTTTTGCAGAGAAGCACCAGGGAAACTCCATTTCGGGCCCTACCCCGGGCCCAGGACAAACGAACAGGGGAAACCAACTATATTCTCCCTTAGCCCAGCCACCCAACACAGCGCCACAGTGGATATACCAGCCATAAAATCATTTACTTTAAAAGGAGGGGACAAACCGCAGAGAGTGCCCACTGGCATTTATGGACCTTTGCCAACTGGCACCTTTGCTTTATTAACTGGACGCTCAAGCCTGACATCAAAGGGAGTAACAGTTCATTTAGGCATAATTGATGCTGATTATATGGGAGAAATCCAAATTCTTATGTCTTCCGTAGTTGATATATCTTTTGAAGCAGGAGAACGCATTGCCCAATTATTGTTATTACCTTACCTTTCTGTCGGTCAGTCTACTGTTATTAGACATGGGGAATTCGGTAGTACAGACACAAAAAAATGTTTTTTGGACTACACAGATAACTCATATGCAGCCCTTGATGAAAGTTAAATTGAATACTAAAGATATTACTGTTTTACTAGATACTGGATCAGACATCACTATTATTAAGACTGCTGATTGGCCTGAGAAGCTCCCCTATACTATCGTGCCTTGTCACATAAAAGGAGTTGGCAATACTCCCGTTCACAGTATCGGCCTAGCTACTCAGTTCGTGACATTTACTTCCCAGGATGGTCAGATGGCCGTCCTAAAACCATATATTTTAGATGTTCCTTTAAATATTTTGGGTCGCAATGTCCTAGGGCAGTGGGGAGCTCATCTCGAATTCTAATTGTAGATGGAACCCATCAAAATTTTATGGAAATCTGAAGATCCTTTGTGGATTGAACAATGGCCTTTAACTAAGGAAAAACTTACTGCTGCCCATCAATTGGTTCAAGAACAATTGCAAAAGCAACATATTGAGCATTCCACTTCCCCGTGGAATTCTCCAATTTTTGTTATAAAGAAGACCTCAGGTAAATGGCGTCTACTTACTGATCTACGTGGGGTTAACAACTCCATGTTCCCTATGGGGGCCCTTCAGCCTGGTATACCTTCGCCAGCTGTCTTACCAAAAAGTTGGCATACTGTAGTTATTGATCTGCAAGACTGTTTCTTCACTATCCCTGTGCATAAAGATGATAGAAAATGCTTTGCCTTTTCCCTTCCCCCTATAAATAGACAGGGACCTCGTCAAAGGTTCCAATGGAAAGTTTTACCTCAAGGCATGATGAACTCTCCTACTATGTGCCAGCTTTATGTTGATGCTGCTTTGCGCCCTGTATGGCAAAGGTGGTCCCATGTATACATATCTCATTATATGGATGACATCCTGTTCGCTAGCCCTCATCAAAATGAGTTGGATGAAATTTTAAAATTATTACCTGAGTACTTTGCTCCTTTTGGCTTAATAATTGCCCCAGAGAAAATTCAAAAAGGAGATATCATCAATTATCTGGGATATGTGATAGAAAGAAATGCAATTAGGCCACAGAAGATGGCTATTCGTAGGGATAACTTGAGAACTTTAAATGATTTCCAAAAACTATTAGGGGATATTAATTGGTTGCGACCCTCTCTAGGTATCCCTACTTACCGATTGCATAACTTATTTGAAACCCTACAGGGAAACCCTGATATCAATAGCCCCAGACAACTTACTACTGAAGCCGAAATTGAACTACAGTTTGTAGAGGAAAAAATTAAATCTGCTTTCTTAACCCGAATTGATCCCTCCTTGCCTCTAAAATTGTATATTCTTCATACATGGCAATATCCCACGGCTATATTAGGTCAAAATGAGTTACCCATTGAATGGATCTATACTAAACATCATTTTTCAAAAAATATTACGCCCTATGGTATTCAAATAGCATATCTGATAGAACAAGCTCGAGACAGGGCTATAACCATAACTGGTTGTGATATTATGGACATTATTATCCCCCTGTCCAAGGATCAATTTTCATTTTTGTTACGAAATATGGAAGAACTACAGATTGCTCTTGCAGGGTATGTTGGTCAAATTAATTATCATTTTCCCAAAGGAAAATTATGGGACTGTTTTCGTAAACAAGAGTTTGTTATTCAGGATATCATCAGTGATCAGCCCCTAACTGATGCACCCACGGTCTTTACCGATGGCTCCAAAACTAAAAGTGCTTACTGGACCCCTACTAAATATTGGGTTCAGTATACAGACTTTAATTCAGTCCAGCAAAATGAATTGTTCGCCATTACTCAGGTGTTAAAGGATTTTCCCTCCGCTGTAAATATTATCGCTGATTCTGCTTACGCTGTAGGAGTCCTTAAAAATATATACACTGCTGTTGTACATTCACATAAGTCCCATTTACTTAACCTATTTTTACTTTTGCAAACTTTGCTTAGAAGCCGGAATGCTCGTATTTATGTGACTCATATTCGTTCCCATACTAATCTTCCTGGTTCATTGACACATGGTAATGCTCAAGTGGACGCTTTGGTGTCTTTTGTATCTGCGGAGGAAGAACATAATTTATTGCATACCAATGCCGGAAGGTTACATGTTCAATATAAAATTCCATACCGTCAAGCAAAATCTATCGTGAAGCAATGTCCAATCTGTAGACCTTTACATCTGCGCACTACAAAAGCTGGGGTAAACCCCCGAGGCACATATGCCAATGAACTTTGGCAAATGGATGTTACTCATATGGCGCAGTTTGGCCGATTCTCTTATGTGCACGTAGTAATAGATACTTATTCTCATTTCATGTGGGCTACGGCACAAGTTGGTGAAACTGCACAACATGTCATCACCCATCTATTAGAAACTTTCGCTGTGATGGGCCTACCATCTATCATTAAGACAGACAATGGTCCTGCATATAGCAGCAAAAAATTTCAAGCCTTTTGTAAACAATATAGTATAATGCATAAAACAGGCATTGAGTACAACCCCCAAGGACAGGCTATTGTGGAACGTGCGCATAATACTTTAAAGTTACAAATTAAAAAATTAAAAAGGAGGAAAAAGGATCATATATTATCATTTACTCAATCTAATGCGCGTTCTATTTTGATACAGGCACTATTTACACTCAATTTCTTGAATCTTCCGCAAGGAGATATTCTTTCCCGAGCAGAAAAGCATTTCATAGAGGGAGAGGCTGCTCCTCCTCCGTTAAATGAAAAAATATGGTTTAAACCGGCTGCAGATGCAGAATGGCAACCAGGGCTATTACTTTATAGAGGGAAGGGTTATGCTTATGTCTCCACAGAGGATGGACGGACCTGTTCCTGGCTCCCCGCGAGGTGGATCCAGCCAAGGACCAATTCGAACAGCACCGTATCCTGTCAGGCGACGAACAAGGAATCCAGACCACGATGAACTTCCAATACAGGCCATGGCACACCTAAATTTGGGGGGACGACGTCGCCGTCGGCAAACATTTGCTACTGTTTTGCCTACCTGGGGACAAATTAAAAGGCTTGGTGGGGAAGGGCAAAAAATCTTGCAGCGGACAGGGAAGGCTTGCACACCCGAAAATTTGTTTTTGGCCATGTGCGCTTTACTTACTGTATCATCCTCCGCTGAAGCGACAGATGTAAGCTATTGGGCCTATATACCCAACCCACCTATGATGGAACCTGCACCCTGGGGAAGTGCGGATATTCCTATTTATACTTCCCCAGTGATACTTTCACCCCCTTGGAAAAATCTTACTTACCTTAATCAAGATGATGGCTCCCTATTTGATTTTCTACATAAAGGGGATGGTCCTTACATTTGTCTTGGCCCCTCTCCCTGTGCCGAAATGAACTGGCAAAACTGGATCCTACCCGGCGATATGTCTAATGGATCCCGAACTCATTTACAAAGATTTGAGGCATGGTCTCTTAACATGACATGGGGAAATGTTAAATTTGATAAGTTCCCCTCATTTCCTGTCTGTCCTGACTTCACATACATAAGACTGGCCTATAAGCCGTTTGTATGGCAGGAATGTGTTGGAAAGTTTGCAAAAATTTTACAAGAATTTGCTTATGTGGGGGCCATATGGTCAATTTCTTCGGAATTGCTCAGAATGGAATAAAACACATTGTGATTTATCTTTAACTTATAGGATACCACCGCAGAACAACTGGAGTGAGCCAATGGTAAATCATCAATTGATGGCCTGGGGAGATGGCGGCATTGCAGATCCTCGTGTAGCACATCAGAAATTTCCTGATCATATTCAAACACACTTATGGAAAATTGCAGCCGCGCTTAAGACTGTTAGAATTTACAATGGAACTTTTTCTGGCACAGCGAACTCTGCGTCAACTTATAACTTCACTATTTTTAAAGAAATGAATGTAACTGCTTGTGTACCTCTGCCATATCTATTTCTGGTTGGGAACTTTAGTTTCTATAATGGAATTAACTGTACCAGATGTCGACTGTACTCTTGTATTAATAATTCTATAGAATTTGAACCGGGATATTCTCTTATGATTTTGCAACAACGTTCTCACATTTGGCTTCCGGTGAATCTAGAACGGCCGTGGGCCCAAAATCCCGTGGACGCCTTAGTTTTGGAGTTTTTCAAAAAGATGCTAAAACGTACAAAACGTTTTGTCGGCATTATTGTGGCAGTTATTTTAAGCTTAATCACAGTTACCACGCTGGCCGCAGTATCAGGTATAGCATTACATACCTCTCTGCAAACCAAACATTTTGTGGAAAATTGGCACCGTGACTCTCGGGATCTTTGGCTTTCACAAACTATGATTGATACTCGCTTGCAAACACAAATAGATGTCCTTAGGCAGACAGTGGGCTGGTTAGGGAAGAAGGTATTGACACTAGAGAGGCAAATTTGGCTTCGTTGCGATTGGAATTCTACGACTTTTTGTGTTACCAATTTAAAATATAAGTCACAGCATGATTGGAGCGTTATCCAAAGATACTTAGAAGGTAATTCATCGGCGGTTGACATGATCAATAATCTGCACACAAATATTCAGGAGATCTTTGGTAGACCATTTGAGACCGAAGATGCTGCCACTTTGGCAGACTTGTTCCTTAAACAACTTGAGGGATTAGACCCAAAAGGTATCATTCAGAGTTTAGGGCATACTGCTGGAGGAATGGGCATTGTGTTGCTAGTTGTTATCTTATGCTTTACGCTGCTACATTTCTGCTATATAAAACCATCCCAGAATTCTATGGCCACCCTCTGGAAGGCAATTTTATTAAAACAAAAGAAAAAAGGGGGAAATGAAATGGCATAGGCTTGCAGGCCCCTTGCGAGCCAGGGTCATTCAAGGACTGCAGTGAGAGTTAGGAAAGCCAGGCAAACCTGAGCAAGGAGGAGAAAAT